CCTTCACAGTGATTTCTCCTGTTTCTGCATTTAGATCAAACATATTTGATGGATCAATATTTCCTCGTTTGATCAATGAATACATTATCTTACTGTTCATTCCCTCGTCTAAATCTGTTGCATTTAGCTTTATTACCACTGTTCCGTATGGTGTGTTTTCACGCACACGCACTTTATAGAGCGATTTGCTGAATATTGGTGTATTATCATTCACATCTAAAACATTAACATTTATTTGCAATGACCCTGATCTAGCAGGTTTTCCTCCATCTACAGCGGTCAGGAGGAGTGTAATAACGGGCTGTTTCTCTCGATCTAAAGCTTTCTGCAGCACTAACTCAGCAGACACACCGTGATCTCCGCTGCTCTGTAAATCAAGAGAGAAATGTTCATTTTGGCTCAGCTTGTAGGTCTTCACCGAGTTGCTGCCTATGTCCGCATCCACTGCTATTGGGAGAAGATATCTCTCCCCCGGTGACATCGACTCGGAGATGTTTAACGAATACGACTTTTCAAGGAATTCTGGCGAATTATCATTTATGTCTAAAACACTGACCTCAATGCGGTGTACATTCATTGGATTGCTTAAAACAGCCTGTATTTTGAGGGTGCATTGTGCCGTGTTAGGACACAGCTCTTCTCTGTTTATCCTCTCGTTAACAAAGATATTCCCGGTCCGCAAATTCACGTCAAAATATCTCTTACTGTAACTCGAAACAATACGTAGATCCCTGGTCTCTAGTTCCTGTACATTCACGTTCACATCCTTTGCAATATTCCCCACCACGGTGCCTTTGTTCACCTCCTCGGAAATGGAGTAAGATAATTGTGAAGCAGACCGTTCACAAAGACACAGCAGTGCAACAATATGAATCCAGGCATACTTCTCGTTTCCCATCGTCAAACAATAAACACTGAATCTCCCTGATCATGTATATCCAGTTTATATATCCGCCATAAACACGACTATCAAGCGGCAGCCGGTCTTCTCGCCAGAGTACAATCCCCGTGTCTGTCTAAACTGATGGCCAATGACGGTTTTAGATTTCCTTTACAGGGAGGAGTTTTACACATATTATAACAGCTGTGTATCTACGGTCTCCAACGACACCATGTGGTAAATGAAAGATAAGTCAGTATAAATGTGGTTAACACTTAGCCCAGATTATTTACAGTATTATAAAAGGCGTTTCATTTCAATCGTTTGAAAACAAATGCCTAAATTATATGGAAATTAAATCGAAGTTTTTTTGTTAGTCTCATATGGACTTCCACATGGGATTTATTTATTTAATCTTGTCATTTGTCAAATGCAAATCACAATATTTGAGAACCATTCAAGTCTATATAAGTCCTAGTGTTTCGGTGTATCCAGGGTTGAATCATTTTAGGTATTTTTAGGTAAATTAGCTATTGAATAAAATGCATTAATTGGTCAATTAGTGAAAAAGTCAACCTCGTTTTCAGGTCCTGTTGACTTGTGTTTGCACAATTACACTAACAGTGTAAACAAAATTAAACAGTTCATAGAAAACTGAAGAACACATACCTTGTCTTTATTAGGTAAAGTCTGAGTTCTGGTAAAAGTGTCTCCTCCGTTTATACTGATCAGCTCCGCATCTACAGGCGGAAACGGTGCGGGGAAAACCACTACGTCACTCTTCAGTGTGTCGGAGCTGAAACACACGTCATACTGCTGAGTAGCTTTAGAGTAAGACCAACTCCCGTCAGGGTGGGTGGTGATCATCGGGGCGCTGTACCTGCTGAAACTGCCGTCTGTCCTGTGGCATTTCACAGCTATTAAACTGATGAGGCTCAGCAGAAAGATCACTGACACCGACACAATGGCGATCAGCAGATACAGGTTCAAATCAGAGAAGCTCTCCTCCTTTATGGGCACATGTCTGAACTGAGTCTGGATGTCAGCTGTGCTTTCAACCACCACCACATCAATAGACACAGTAGCTGACAGGGAGGGCTCTCCGTTATCAGAAACCAGCACCACCAAGGGGTGAGTTTTCAAGTCATTGTCACTCATTCTCCTCTTAGTCCTGATCTCACCGGTGCTGGTTCCGATCCGGAAGAGGTTGTTTCCTTTGGGCTCAGACAGGTGATAAGAAAGCAGCGCGTTGTATCCAGAGTCTGCGTCTACAGCCCTGATCTTTGCCACAAAGTATCCCGCTTCAGCAGAATAGGGGATGCTCTCACTGTTAACGGAGCCGTGCTCAGAATAGGGCGCGAGGATCGCGGGACTGTTGTCATTCTCATCCAGGATACAAACGTTCACAGTCACGTTGCTGCTGAGCGGAGGAACACCAGAGTCTGTGGCCTGAACTTTAAACTGAAACGTCTTTAACTCCTCGTAGTTAAAAGACTGCAGGCTGACTATATCTCCAGTCTCTGAGTTGATGTTTACAACTGATGAAATTGGGAAGTCTTTCGGGTAATTATCCATTAATGAATAAGTCAATTTAGCATTTTCGTTTGCATCTGCATCTTGTGCAGTTGTTCTTGTGATAACATCTCCCACTTTACTGTTCTCTTTCACATAAATATTTATAATGGTTTCTGGGAAGTGTGGCGCGTTGTCATTAATATCAGATATCTGCACGGTGATTACAGCACTGCTAGAAAGAGGCGGGGTCCCTTCATCTGTAGCAGTAATGGTTATATTGTAGTGTGATACAATCTCTCTGTCAAGGATACTGTCAACTATCAAAGAGTAATAGTTTTTATAATTTGACGTTAATGCAAAAGGGACTGAATCTCTAATTTTACAAGTGGTCAGGCAGTTTTGCCCTCCATCTTTATCAGTCACAGTCACCAATGCAACAACTGTTCCAATTTCAGCACTTTCCTTCACTGGACTCATTAGTGAAGTTATAGATATTTCAGGTGCATTGTCATTGACATCGACCACCTCTACCAGCACTTTAGAATAACCACTGCGAGGGGAGGCGCCTTGGTCTGTTGCTTGTACTCTTAATTCATATGCGTTGCTTTCCTCGTAGTCCAAATTAGCTTTTACAACGATCTCACCGCTTTCAGGAATAACAATGAATTTTTCCGGAGAGTCCACATTCCCTCTTTTCATTAAAGAATATCTGACTTCCGAATTTGGACCTTCGTCTAAATCAGTTGCATTTAGTTTTAATATTGTTGTACTAATGGGTACATTTTCGCTTACTCTTACTTTATAAAGCGACTTGCTAAACGAAGGCGTGTTGTCATTAACATCTATCACATTCACAAGAATCTGCATCGAGCCCGATCTTGCGGGTTTTCCTCCGTCCACAGCGGTTAATGTTAGTTTAACAATAGGTTGCTTTTCTCGGTCTAAAGTTTTCTGCAGCACTAACTCAGCAGACACACTTTCTCCTCCACTACTCACATCTATTGAGAAATGCTCGTTCGGACTTAACTTGTAGGTTTTCACTGAATTGCTGCCAGTGTCTGCATCTTGAGCTATCGGGAGCGGATACCTCTCGCCCGTTGAGGAAGACTCGGAGATATTAAACACATGGGTTTGCTCGAGGAATGATGGTGCATTATCATTGATGTCAAGAATACTGACCTCAATGCGATATATATTCATAGGATTGCTCAATAGTGCCTCTATTTGTAAGGAGCACTTGGCTAAATTCGGACAAAGCTCCTCACGGTCTATCCTTTCCTCGACAGACAAAGCTCCTGTTCTTAAATTAGCCTCGAAATATTTCTTACTGTATCCCGACACAATCCGAAATCCACGTTCATCCAGTTGCTGTGTTTGGATGTTTAAATCCTTAGCGAGACTCCCCACTACTGTGCCTTTGTCCACTTCTCGGAAACGGAGTAGGAAATCTGAGCTGCAGACCAGTCAGATAAACAAAGAAGAATGGCGCACAACATCCATACATCCTGTCGATGCTGTTGCCGACTCATTCTTTTGTTTAGATGAGAAATACCAGCAAAAAACAGCATTCATCCACAAAAACGGGAAAATATCCAAAAGACAACCAAGCTCTCATCATTTAGGGACCATCTTTCCAGACGAAGTGTCTTACTAACCCAGCCCCTACAAAACGTACAGGCTGTTTCTGATTACACCGACAGTGGGGGAGGAGTTTTAGGTTATTAATGAACACTGTTGATTGGGTGGTCTCGAGCGACATCTACCGTTTATTTGATAGATCACACTGAATTATTTATCAACCACACACATCATGAGTTGGGGTCTTTTCTTAAACAATACACCACAAATGTATAATTGATGGTCTCATTCCATGACTGATTATGTTTGTTTGTTTCATAAACAAAACAGTAAGAAGAAGCCAAGAAACTGGAGACTAAATTAATCAGAGGAATGCCATAACTCGCGAGAGGTAAGACTATGCATTGATGATTGCAAAGTGAATTAATTAAACTAACAAATGAATCGTAGTACTGTAAATGACTGTTGTTTAACATTAATTAGAGATATGCTTCCACAGCCCAACACCACTTTAAAAAACACGTTCTACAAACCAGATGATCATTGAGGACAGAACTCCTCATTTCGATACTCCCTGTTTTTCCAGCTTATGGTATTTTTGTTATGGAAATGTACAATGCTAAACGTTAAGGTCCCTGTAATTCTAAAATGTAATGGCTTTAAATAAACAACAATCTTTTCAGCTTGTTTCAAAATGTGCAGATCCACAACAAGCTATGGCACATGAAGAGAAGCATGTACTGAAGACTGAGGAACACAGAGACATATCAGCACCATGGAGAGCGCCTTTACCGTCAAGCAGCATCAGAGTGTAAAACTGTGGATGTCATACTTTATGTTGCCAGAGAGTTAATAATAATGTGGGTGGGTCCGTGATGAAGGGAACTACACTTGCACCACCTACAATTATTTTGATCATATAGAAACAAATAATTGTACTGTAATTCTAATTTGCGCGTTTTGGCCTTCGCTTAAAGCAGCCAAAGCTATATACAAAGGAGAAAATATGCACGGGTTCATTGCGATACTACTTTATGCACCTTACCTTGTCTTTGTTAGGTAAAGTCTGAGTTCTGGTGAAAGTGTCTCCTCCGTTTATACTGATCAGCTCCGCATCTACAGGCGGAAACGGTGCGGGGAAAACACTACGTCACTCTTCAGTGTGTCGGAGCTGAAACACACGTCATACTGCTGAGTAGCTTTAGAGTAAGACCAGCTCCCGTCAGGGTGGGTGGTGATCATTGGGGCGCTGTACCTGCTGAAACTGCCGTCTGTCCTGTGGCATTTCACAGCTATTAAACTGATGAGGCTCAGCAGAAAGATCACTGACACCGACACAATGGCGATCAGCAGATACAGGTTCAAATCAGAGAAGCTGTCCTCCTTTATGGGCACATGTCTGAACTGAGTCTGGATGTCAGCTGTGCTTTCAACCACCACCACATCAATAGACACAGTAGCTGACAGGGAGGGCTCTCCGTTATCAGAAACCAGCACCACCAAGGGGTGAGTTTTCAGGTCATTGTCACTCATTCTCCTCTTAGTCCTGATCTCCCCGGTGCTGGTTCCGATCCGGAAGAGGTTGTTTCCTTTGGGTTCAGACAGGTGATAAGAAAGCAGCGCGTTGTATCCAGAGTCTGCGTCTACAGCCCTGATCTTTGCCACAAAGTATCCCGCTTCAGCAGAATAGGGGATGCTCTCACTGTTAACGGAGCCGTGCTCAGAATAGGGCGCGAGGATCGCGGGACTGTTGTCATTCTCATCCAGGATACAAACGTTCACAGTCACGTTGCTGCTGAGCGGAGGAACACCAGAGTCTGTGGCCTGAACTTTGAACTGAAACGTTTTTAACTCCTCGTAGTTAAAAGACTGCAGGCTGACTATATCTCCAGTCTCTGAGTTAATGTTAATCATTGTCGAGAGAGGCAGCGAGTTACTGTCAGTTTGTAAAAATGAATATTTCACCTGGCTGTTATGGGCAATGTCAGCATCAGATGCAGATACCGTTTTAATAATTACCCCGACTTTATTGTTTTCTTTCACGTAAACATTGACCACTGCTTCTGAGAAACGAGGCGGGTTGTCATTTACATCAGAGACGTGAATAGTAATAACACTCGTGTTGGAGAGGCGAGGGGTCCCCTCATCGTTAGCTAATATGGTGACGTTGTAGCTGGAGGCAATTTCTCTGTCAAGAGCCCCGTCAACAACTAGAGAATAATAGTTTTTGTAGTTTGTCTCTAGTTTAAATGGAACCTCATTTAAGATTTTACATTTCACATCACCGTTTTTGCCACCATCTTTGTCGACAAATGACACAAGTGCAATAGCAGTTCCTACGTCAGCGTCCTCTTTCACTGTATTTAACAAAGGCGTCACAGTGATCTCTGGGGCATGGTCATTCTCATCATTTACTTCTACCAGCACTTTACAGTGTGCAGACATTGGTGGCTGACCCTTATCGTTTACTTCTACACGGATCTCGAAGGCTTTATTTTCCTCATAATCGACATTAGCTTTGATCATTATCGCACCCGCTATGGGATCAATATGAAACAACTCTAATATGCGATCTTGACCTTTACTTCTTAACGAATACACTATCTCACCATTTGTCCCCTCGTCTGCGTCGGTTGCATTTAGTGTAATCACGGTTGTCCCTATTCGGGTGTTTTCATATATACGAGTTTTGTACAAGGAACTACTAAACACTGGTGGGTTATCATTTATGTCTAAAACATGAATAATAACCTGTGATGTGCCAGATCTAGGTGGAGTCCCTCCATCTATAGCAGTCACGGTGAGATGTATCACAGGCTGTTTCTCTCGATCAAGTGTTTTCTGCAAAACTAATTCGGCTGACACGCTTTCTCCTTTGATTGTAGCGAGAGAAAAATATTCATTTGATGTCAATTTAAACGCATTCACCGTATTCTTACCTACATCTGCATCGATAGCCTCTGACAAAGCGAATTTCATTCCAGGCAGTGTATTCTCTGCTATGTCCAAAGTTTGAGATTTTTCGGTGAATAGCGGGTCGTTGTCGTTTACATCTAATATATTTATTTCTAAGCGATAAAGCTTCAACGGGCTGTTTATCACGGCTTCTACACTGACTGTGCATTTAGGTTCCTTCACACAGAGCTCCTCTCGGTCTATCCTCTCATTAACATAGAGAACACCAGTCTTTACATTTACGTCGAAATATTTTCTTTTTGATCCAGTAACTATCTGAAACATGCGGGACTCCAACTCCTGAATGCCGATGTTTAAATCCTTAGCGATATTTCCTACAGAAGTCCCCGGATTCACTTCCTCTAACACGGAATAGGCGAGCTGCCCAGACTCTGCTTTACAGCAGCACTCCAGTAGCACGAGCACCAGATATGAAACAAAAGATGTCCTCATTGATACAGGCATAATTCCACAAGGTTATTTAAACACATCCACTGCAAATAAACCCCGTCATGAATTTTAGGAGTATGAAAAATCCAACTTCAGACTGCGCCAAATATATATTGTTCCCATATGTAAACCCGATCTTCCCTCGGTCCTTTCGTTCTCTTTTGTGACAAAGCCTGCATGATCCAAATCGTCAACTGAAACTGGGAGGAGCGTGAAACCACTACATAGAAACTCTCAATGTTACGGTCTATAGTGTCGCCACGTGGAGATATGCCTCAACTGCATTAATATCATTTGTATGGAAAACAGGTGATATTTTTAAGAGAGGCGAAATGTTTTCACAAGCTTTTTTCTGTTGGTAAAAATGCAACTGAAATACTACCGGAAAAAAAAAGTTTATCCGGTTCATAAAACGTAATTTAAGTGATAGTTTTTGCTATTACTGAACAGTGAACACTCTACAGTCGGGATCGCAGTTGGAGAAAGGAAAACTTTCTGGAGCAGAAACCCACACACTTATAAACTTAACTTTGCCACAGTATGATGTAACAATCTATGAGAGACAATTAATGAGAATGGGAATTAATTACGAGAGAAAATCTGTTGTATTTTTTCCTTACCTTGTCCTTGTTAGGTAAAGTCTGAGTTCTGGTGAAAGTGTCTCCTCCGTTTATACTGATCAGCTCCGCATCTACAGGCGGAAACGGTGCGGGGAAAACCACTACGTCACTCTTCAGTGTGTCGGAGCTGAAACACACGTCATACTGCTGAGTAGCTTTAGAGTAAGACCAGCTCCCGTCAGGGTGGGTGGTGATCATTGGGGCGCTGTACCTGCTGAAACTGCCGTCTGTCCTGTGGCATTTCACAGCTATTAAACTGATGAGGCTCAGCAGAAAGATCACTGACACCGACACAATGGCGATCAGCAGATACAGGTTCAAATCAGAGAAGCTCTCCTCCTTTATGGGCACATGTCTGAACTGAGTCTGGATGTCAGCTGTGCTTTCAACCACCACCACATCAACAGACACAGTAGCTGACAGGGAGGGCTCTCCGTTATCAGAAACCAGCACCACCAAGGGGTGAGTTTTCAGGTCATTGTCACTCATTCTCCTCTTAGTCCTGATCTCCCCGGTGCTGGTTCCGATCCGGAAGAGGTTGTTTCCTTTGGGCTCAGACAGGTGATAAGAAAGCAGCGCGTTGTATCCAGAGTCTGCGTCTACAGCCCTGATCTTTGCCACAAAGTATCCCGCTTCAGCAGAATAGGGGATGCTCTCACTGTTAACGGAGCCGTGCTCAGAATAGGGCGCGAGGATCGCGGGACTGTTGTCATTCTCATCCAGGATACAAACGTTCACAGTCACGTTGCTGCTGAGCGGAGGAACACCAGAGTCTGTGGCCTGAACTTTAAACTGAACGTTTTAACTCCTCGTAGTTAAAAGACTGCAGGCTGACTATATCTCCAGTCTCTGAGTTGATGTTAATCATTGAAGCTATCTGCGTGTTCTTTGGAGAACCGTTTACTAAATTGTAAGTTACTTTTGCGTTTTCATTCAAATCTGAATCTAACGTCTTCAGTGTATGAATAGTAGTGCCAATCGCGGTATTCTCTTTAACATAAACATTAATAAGAGGTTCCAGGAATCGAGGAGGGTTGTCATTGACATCAGAAACTTGAACAGTGATGACGCTCGTGCTCGACAGAGAGGGAGTTCCTTCATCTGTAGCTGTAATTGATACGTTATAATGGGAAACACTCTCCCTGTCAAGAGGCCCGTCTACTAATAAAGAATAGTAGTTTTTATAGTTAGATTTTAATTTAAATGGCACAGAAGCTGTAATTTTACAGTTCGTTAGACCATTTTTGCCTCCGTCTTTGTCAGTGATAGTCACCATAGCGACAGCTGTACCTATTTCAGCGTCTTCTTTCACTGGACTCATGAGTGATGACACCGAAATTTCTGGAGCGTTGTCATTGACATCAATAACTTCGACTAAAACCTTGCTATGTGCACTGCGAGGAGGCGTGCCTTTATCTCGTGCTTGAACACGGATCTCATATGCTTGGTTGTCCTCATAATCAATATTACCTTTCACGGTAATTTCTCCAGTATCATCATTCAGTGCAAATTTGTCATCGGGGTTCAAACGTCCCCTTTCTGTAAAAGAGTAAACAAGCTGACCATTAACGCTGTCGTCAAAATCAGTAGCTGTCAGGGTCAGTAATGCTGTGCCAAAATTAGCATTTTCAACAACTTGGACCTTGTAAAGAGATTTACTGAACACTGGTGAATTGTCATTTACATCCAGTACATTAACTTTTATCTGTAAAGTCCCCGTTTTGGGAGGTTTTCCTCCATCTGTCGCAGTCAGTGTGAGTTCAATAACAGCCTGTTTTTCTCGATCTAATGCTTTCTGCAGCACTAACTCAGCAGACACACTCTGGTCACCAATGCTCTGTATATCCAAAGAGAAATGATCATTCGGGTTTAATTTGTAAGTCTTGACCGAGTTGGCACCTACATCTGCGTCATGAGCTATCGGTAGTGGATGTCTTTCACCGACATATGAAGACTCATACATATCTATTGTAGTTATTTCTTCCAGAAAGGACGGAGCATTGTCATTTATATCATTAATCACAACTTCAATTCGATGGAGGCTGCGAGGGTTAGTCAATACGGCCTCTATATTTAAAGAGCACTTTACCGTATTAGGACAAAGCTCCTCCCGATCTATCCTCTCGCTAACGAAAAGTACTCCGGATTCATGATTTAAGTCAAAATACCGTTTTTTATACCCAGAGGTAATCTGAAGACCAGCGGAATGGAGTTGCTGCACACTAAGATTTAAATCCTTTGCGAGATTTCCCACCGCCGTCCCTTTGTCCACCTCCTCTGAAATGGAGTAGGATATCTGAGCCAGGGACCAGTCGCAGAGACAAAGCAGAGTTAAAAACAGACCCCCAATATTATCCCATTGTTCCCGAGCAGCCATCGCTGTGTAGGCAAAAGCGAAGAATCCTGATTTCTGCCTCTTGGCCTATCCACGGTAAATGAAAAATAGCTTGTTCATGTATCCATTCTCGCTCCTCTCTCTGTAGGGCTTCACTCAACTGTACGCTGTTTCCACAAAGCACTGCCAGATGATGACGTTTTCTTTTTGTCATGAAAATAGGAGGGGTTTTCTAAGCAGTGGACACAATATTTTTGCGTGGTCTCTAGCGACATCTCGTGATACTTTTGTATACAAAAGGCGGCCCAAGATATTAAATTATTAAAATATTATAATATATATAACAAGGGATATATTGCACCAGGGTCTGTGGCCTGAACTTTAAACAGAAACGTCTGAAACGTTTTTAACTCCTCGTACTTTAAAAGACTGCAGGCTGACTATATCTCCAGTCTCTTAGTTGATATTCACCATTGTAGGGAAAGGCAGAGATTTACTATTACTCTCTAAAAATGAGTATCTCATCTGACCGCTTTTGCTGACATCAGCATCAATTGCAGTCTCTGTTTTAATAACATTCAACAGTATTAATTAGAAAAATTATGCTAAATAATTTTTACAATTAATGGGCTTATTTTGGAAGATTTGAACTGAACGGACTGTTCATACAACAATCTTCATCTGTGAAAAAATGCATTTATGAATACCTCGGTATTCTTATTAATTAGCATAATATGTATTTATGTAGTTATTTTACACAGCATTTGTCTGGATTCAGTTACTTAACAATAAGAGACAGAATATAGCCTGCCCAACTTGAACTTCCCAATCAGAACCACGGAGAGCTCTCAAATATTATTAAACAGAAGAAAAGAAAGAGAAGATGTGTTCAGCACCATGGACAGCGGCTCAGTGAGGCGTTAATGGATGTCATGCCTGACCTTAAGTGACTGCCAACTTCTTAGAACATAACAAACCATCAAACCAAAATGTCGTCACGTTACCAATCCTTTCACATGTTAAACAATGGTATCGAAGTCTAGTTGCAGACAATTATTTGTAGGTAAAGTAGAAAAATAATTTGAATGAATGTGATTAATTTATGACGTTAGAGGAAACACTTTGATCATGTTAGCAAGTTAGTATCTCTGTATGTTACAAAACATTATATTACCCAAAAGACATTATTCAATCTTTAATTTAACGCAAACTTTAAGTATATTACAATGAAATCTTGTGATTGATTAAGTAGCACGAATTGAAGTAAAAAGTATGATTTCACTATCAACATAAACGAAGGGCAATGATGAGATGCACTTAATGCTAATGTTCTTACCTTGTCTTTGTTAGGTAAAGTCTGAGTTCTGGTAAACGTGTCTCCTCCGTTTATACTGATCAGCTCCGCATCTACAGGCGGAAACGGTGCGGGGAAAACCACTACGTCACTCTTCAGTGTGTCGGAGCTGAAACACACGTCATACTGCTGAGTAGCTTTAGAGTAAGACCAGCTCCCGTCAGGGTGGGTGGTGATCATTGGGGCGCTGTACCTGCTGAAACTGCCGTCTGTCCTGTGGCATTTCACAGCTATTAAACTGATGAGCTCAGCAGAAAGATCACTGACACCGACACAATGGCGATCAGCAGATACAGGTTCAAATCAGAGAAGCTCTCCTCCTTTATGGGCACGTGTCTGAACTGAGTCTGGATGTCAGCTGTGCTTTCAACCACCACCACATCAATAGACACAGTAGCTGACAGGGAGGGCTCTCCGTTATCAGAAACCAGCACCACCAAGGGGTGAGTTTTCAGGTCATTGTCACTCATTCTCCTCTTAGTCCTGATCTCCCCGGTGCTGGTTCCGATCCGGAAGAGGTTGTTTCCTTTGGGCTCAGACAGGTGATAAGAAAGCAGCGCGTTGTATCCAGAGTCTGCGTCTACAGCCCTGATCTTTGCCACAAAGTATCCCGCTTCAGCAGAATAGGGGATGCTCTCACTGTTAACGGAGCCGTGCTCAGAATAGGGCGCGAGGATCGCGGGACTGTTGTCATTCTCATCCAGGATACAAACGTTCACAGTCACGTTGCTGCTGAGCGGAGGAACACCAGAGTCTGTGGCCTGAACTTTAAACTGAACGTCTTTAACTCCTCGTAGTTAAAAGACTGCAGGCTGACTATATCTCCAGTCTCTGAGTAAATGTTAATCATTGTCGAGAGAGGCAGCGAGTTACTGTCAGTTTGTAAAAATGAATAGCTCACCTGACCATTTTGATCGATGTCTGCATCAACTGCTGAAACTGTTTTTATAACTGCCCCCACTGGACTGTTTTCTTTCACATAGACATTGATTATATTTTCTGTGAACAGAGGTTTGTTGTCATTTACATCTGAGACGTGTACAGTAATAACGCTCGTGCTGGAAAGAGGGGGCTGCCCTCATCAGTAGCAGTGATGCTGATATTATATTGAGATGCGCTCTCTCTGTCAAGAGGACCGTCCACCACCAGCGAGTAGGAATTCTTATAATTTGATTCTAATTTAAAAGGTACATTATTGGAAATCTTACAGTTCACCATCCCATTTTTCCCTCCGTCTTTATCAAATACTGAAACAAGTGCAATGGCGGTGCCAAAGGACGCGTCTTCTTTCACAGTGTTTAACAATGATGTAACTGAAATTTTAGGTGCATTATCATTAACGTCTAAAACTTCAATCAGTAACTTGGCATGTGAGGTCATTGGTGAGGAAGCCCCATCACTGGCCTGTACTCGAATCTCAAAAGCATTATTTTCTTCAAAGTCGATATTCTTTTTATTTGTTACTGTCCCTGTTTTTTCATCTACAGCAAACAGATCTGTTTGTTTCCCCTGGTCTATGTCAATAAAGGAATATGATATTTGTCCATTTTGTCCTGCATCTGAATCAGTAGCATTTATTGTTATTATCGATGTGTCTATCTTTACATTCTCATGCACACTCGCCTTATACAGCGTTTGACTAAATACAGGGGGATTGTCGTTAATATCTAACACGTTGATTATAATGGTCATACTTCCAGATTTTGCAGGAGTTCCTCCATCAATGGCAGTCAGTAGGAGTTTGATCACAGGCTGGGTTTCTCTGTCTAAAACTTTCTGAAGCAGTAATTCGGGAGATACACTTTCCCCTTTATGTGTTGCCAGAGAAAAGTGTTCATTTTGGCTGAGTTTGTAGGCATTTACAGTATTTTTGCCAACGTCTGCGTCCTGAGCTCGTTTCAATAGAAATTTTGCACCTGCTGCTGTGTTCTCTGTGATATTAATCACCTGTAACCTGCTTCTAAATGACGGGGAATTATCATTTACATCCAGGATTATAATTTGTATCCGGTACAGTTTTAACGGGTTGCTAATAACTGCTTCTACACTCAGTGAACATTTGGGCTCGTCGCCGCAGAGTTGCTCTCGATCTATTCTCTCATTGACATACAGGACACCAGTCTTTAGATTTACCTCGAAATATTTTGTCTCTGATCCAGCAACGATCTGAAACATGCGGGACTCCAAATCCTGGACATTGAGGTTCAGATCTTTAGCGATATTTCCGACAACAGTCCCCAGATTTACCTCCTCTGAGACGGAGTAAGAGAGCTGCCCAGACACCGCTTCCCAGTAACAATCCAGCAGCACGACCAAGAGATAAATCCACACAGAGCTCCTTTTGCTCGGTGAATGCATAATTCCATACATCGAGAATAATCATAGAGACAGGTTCATTCAGTTCCGTCACAAAAATAAAGAAGTGAAGCTGAGTAGACAAATACACCAAAGCAATAGAAACCACCACACGGAAATTGTCGTCGTCTCTTCTCTTTCACCGTCTCCGTCTCTTTGTTTCAGTCGCCAGAGAAACATCATAGTCCTCTGAATCTGGGAGGAGCCCCGAGCAACCAGAGAGGAAGTTCAGATGTGATGGTCTACAATGTCCCCATGTGGACACTTGCAACAACTACATCCAACATCAAACATAACAATGTTACACCGACCTCTACTTTATGTACCCTGAAACATTTAGCCAAATCTCAAGAAAATATATGGTCAACATGACTCCGTCTTTTATTCCACTATTTATTAGCAAGTTAGACTATCCTGAAAATGTAGATAGCCTATAATTAAATGAAAGATGTGAACACTGACGGAAATGATGGGACTCTTCTTCAGTGAATCCACTGTTTTTGAAACAGAAGAGACTTTATCAAAATGTATGCTAAATCCACAAACATATAGCATTATGTCCAGCAACTAGAAAAAGAAAATATGGAAAACATAGACTTACCTTCCCGAGGAATAATAAAGTGTGACAGCATTACCGTGTGTGAAAAAAATGACAACTGGTTGCTATTTGTAGAGAGTGTTGGGCCCACAAACCTGCTTTCATCAGCATGGCTAGCAATGTTCCTTTCAAAAGTACCGAATATGCACCCACAGTTACTCTGTTTTCGAAATTGCATGTCTTTATCAGCATACTCCTACCATATTAATTACTTTTAACTGTCAGTTTTTAATAGTGTGCATAATTACTTTATGTTCTGACCTTGACTTTAATAAGATACCATACCCAATGTTTTCTTAACTGCATAATTGACGGCATATATTTATCTCCACAGATACTCACAAGGCGACTGATCGTTTCTGTGATATAGCTACTGTATGTTCGTTGCATAACACATGTTTAAATGTATTAAAAACATGGAACAGTTGAATAGAGCATTTCTTTAACCTTTATGTCCTGAAGATTGCAAGCATCACAAATTCAGACAGTTGCATAAAGCAACGCATATTAAAATACCGAATTAGAAGTCAACTATGAATGAGATGCGCATTAGAGCCGACGTGCTGCAGTTTTAATTGTGCTGTTTAAAAGGATTCATGCTATAGTAGTTAAAATAGAAATGAGCCTATATATAAAGTAGCTATATGTTGAGTAGGTTGACATTGTATCAAATGTAGCCTGTTGTGCTTTTGTCGATGCTTTAGAAATAGTGCAATAAAAGTACTTAATGCTAATGTTCTTACCTTGTCTTTATTAGGTAAAGTCTGAGTTCTGGTAAACGTGTCTCCTCCGTTTATACTGATCAGCTCCGCATCTACAGGCGGAAACGGTGCGGGGAAAACACTACGTCACTCTTCAGTGTGTCGGAGCTGAAACACACGTCATACTGCTGAGTAGCTTTAGAGTAAGACCAGCTCCCGTCAGGGTGGGTGGTGATCATTGGGGCGCTGTACCTGCTGAAACTGCCGTCTGTCCTGTGGCATTTCACAGCTATTAAACTGATGAGGCTCAGCAGAAAGATCACTGACACCGACACAATGGCGATCAGCAGATACAGGTTCAAATCAGAGAAGCTCTCCTCCTTTATGGGCACATGTCTGAACTGAGTCTGGATGTCAGCTGTGCTTTCAACCACCACCACATCAACAGACACAGTAGCTGACAGGGAGGGCTCTCCGTTATCAGAAACCAGCACCACCAAGGGGTGAGTTTTCAGGTCATTGTCACTCATTCTCCTCTTAGTCCTGATCTCCCCGGTGCTGGTTCCGATCCGGAAGAGGTTGTTTCCTTTGGGCTCAGACAGGTGATAAGAAAGCAGCGCGTTGTATCCAGAGTCTGCGTCTACAGCCCTGATCTTTGCCACAAAGTATCCCGCTTCAGCAGAATAGGGGATGCTCTCACTGTTAACGGAGCCGTGCTCAGAATAGGGCGCGAGGATCGCGGGACTGTTGTCATTCTCATCCAGGATACAAACGTTCACAGTCACGTTGCTGCTGAGCGGAGGAACACCAGAGTCTGTGGCCTGAACTTTAAACTGAAACGTTTTTAACTCCTCGTAGTTAAAAGACTGCAGGCTGACTATATCTCCAGTCTCTGAGTTGATGTTAATCATTGAAGCTATCTGCGTGTTCTTTGGAGAACCGTTTACTAAATTGTAAGTTACTTTTGCGTTTTCATTCAAATCTGAATCTAACGTCTTCAGTGTATGAATAGTAGTGCCAATCGCGGTATTCTCTTTAACATAAACATTAATAAGAGGTTCCAGGAATCGAGGAGGGTTGTCATTGACATCAGAAACTTGAACAGTGATGACGCTCGTGCTCGACAGAGAGGGAGTTCCTTCATCTGTAGCTGTAATTGATACGTTATAATGGGAAACACTCTCCCTGTCAAGAGGCCCGTCTACTAATAAAGAATAGTAGTTTTTATAGTTAGATTTTAATTTAAATGGCACAGAAGCTGTAATTTTACAGTTCGTTAGACCATTTTTGCCTCCGTCTTTGTCAGTGATAGTCACCATAGCGACAGCTGTACCTATTTCAGCGTCTTCTTTCACTGGACTCATGAGTGATGACACCGAAATTTCTGGAGCGTTGTCATTGACATCAATAACTTCGACTAAAACCTTGCTATGTGCACTGCGAGGAGGCGTGCCTTTATCTCGTGCTTGAACACGGATCTCATATGCTTGGTTGTCCTCATAATCAATATTACCTTTCACGGTAATTTCTCCAGTATCATCATTCAGTGCAAATTTGTCATCGGGGTTCAAACGTCCCCTTTCTGTAAAAGAGTAAACAAGCTGACCATTAACGCTGTCGTCAAAATCAGTAGCTGTCAGGGTCAGTAATGCTGTGCCAAAATTAGCATTTTCAACAACTTGGACCTTGTAAAGAGATTTACTGAACACTGGTGAATTGTCATTTACATCCAGTACATTAACTTTTATCTGTAAAGTCCCCGTTTTGGGAGGTTTTCCTCCATCTGTCGCAGTCAGTGTGAGTTCAATAACAGCCTGTTTTTCTCGATCTAATGCTTTCTGCAGCACTAACTCAGCAGACACACTCTGGTCACCAATGCTCTGTATATCCAAAGAGAAATGATCATTCGGGTTTAATTTGTAAGTCTTGACCGAGTTGGCACCTACATCTGCGTCATGAGCTATCGGTAGTGGATGTCTTTCACCGACATATGAAGACTCAGACATATCTATTGTAGTTATTTCTTCCAGAAAGGACGGAGCATTGTCATTTATATCATTAATCACAACTTCAATTCGATGGAGGCTGCGAGGGTTAGTCAATACGGCCTCTATATTTAAAGAGCACTTTACCGTATTAGGACAAAGCTCCTCCCGATCTATCCTCTCGCTAACGAAAAGTACTCCGGATTCATGATTTAAGTCAAAATACCGTTTTTTATACCCAGAGGTAATCTGAAGACCAGCGGAATGGAGTTGCTGCACACTAAGATTTAAATCCTTTGCGAGATTTCCCACCGCCGTCCCTTTGTCCACCTCCTCTGAAATGGAGTAGGATATCTGAGCCAGGGACCAGTCGCAGAGACAAAGCAGAGTTAAAAACAAACCCCCAATATTATCCCATTGTTCCCGAGCAGCCATCGCTGTGTAGGCAAAAGCGAAGAATCCTGATTTCTGCCTCTTGGCCTATCCACGGTAAATGAAAAATAGCTTGTTCATGTATCCATTCTCGCTCCTCTCTCTGTAGGGCTTCACTCAACTGTACGCTGTTTCCACAAAGCACTGCCAGATGATGACGTTTTCTTTTTGTCATGAAAATAGGAGGGGTTTTCTAAGCAGTGGACACAATATTTTTGCGTGGTCTCTAGCGACATCTCGTGATACTTTTGTATACAAAAAGGCGGCCCAAGATATTAAATTATTAAAATATTATAATATATAACAAGGGATATATTGCACCAGGGTCTGTGGCAATGAACTTTAAATTGAAACGTCTGAAACGTTTTTAACTCCTCGTACTTTAAAAGACTGCAGGCTGACTATATCTCCAGTCTCTTAGTTGATATTCACCATTGTAGGGAAAGGCAGAGATTTACTATTACTCTCTAAAAATGAGTATCTCATCTGACCGCTTTTGCTGACATCAGCATCAATTGCAGTCTCTGTTTTAATAACATTCAACAGTATTAATTAGAAAAATTATGCTAAATAATTTTTACAATTAATGGGCTTATTTTGGAAGATTTGAACTGAACGGACTGTTCATACAACAATCTTCATCTGTGAAAAAATGCATTTATGAATACCTCGGTATTCTTATTAATTAGCATAATATGTATTTATGTAGTTATTTTACACAGCATTTGTCTGGATTCAGTTACTTAACAATAAGAGACAGAATATAGCCTGCCCAACTTGAACTTCCCAATCAGAACCACGGAGAGCTCTCAAATATTATTAAACAGAAGAAAAGAAAGAGAAGATGTGTTCAGCACCATGGACAGCGGCTCAGTGAGGCGTTAATGAAAAAAAAAGTGACTGCCAACTTCTTAGAACATATCAAACCATCAAACCAAAATGTCGTCACGTTACCAATCCTTTCACATGTTAGACAATGGTATCGAAGTATAGTTGCAGACAATTATTTATAGGTAAAGTCGAAAAAGAATTTGAATGAATGTGTTTAATTTATGACGTTAGAGGAAACACTTTGATCATGTTAGCAAGTTAGTATCTCTGTATGTTACAAAACATTATGTTAACCCAAAGACATTATTCAATCCTTTAGATTAATAAAGTTAGGCATGGCTTACCTTGTCTTTATTAGGTAATGTCTGGGTTCGCGTAAAAGTGTCTCCTCCGTTTATACTGATCAGCTCCGCATCTACAGGCGGAAACGGTGCGGGGAAAACCACTACGTCACTCTTCAGTGTGTCGGAGCTGAAACACACGTCATACTGCTGAGTAGCTTTAGAGTAAGACCAGCTCCCGTCAGGGTGGGTGGTGATCATTGGGGCGCTGTACCTGCTGAAACTGCCGTCTGTCCTGTGGCATTTCACAGCTATTAAACTGATGAGCTCAGCAGAAAGATCACTGACACCGACACAATGGCGATCAGCAGATACAGGTTCAAATCAGAGAAGCTCTCCTCCTTTATGGGCACATGTCTGAACTGAGTCTGGATGTCAGCTGTGCTTTCAACCACCACCACATCAACAGAACAGTAGCTGACAGGGAGGGCTCTCCGTTATCAGAAACCAACACCACCAAGGGGTGAGTTTTCAGGTCATTGTCACTCATTCTCCTCTTAGTCCTGATCTCCCCGGTGCTGGTTCCGATCCGGAAGAGGTTGTTTCCTTTGGGCTCAGACAGGTGATAAGAAAGCAGCGCGTTGTATCCAGAGTCTGCGTCTACAGCCCTGATCTTTGCCACAAAGTATCCCGCTTCAGCAGAATAGGGGATGCTCTCACTGTTAACGGAGCCGTGCTCAGAATAGGGCGCGAGGATCGCGGGACTGTTGTCATTCTCATCCAGGATACAAACGTTCACAGTCACGTTGCTGCTGAGCGGAGGAACACCAGAGTCTGTGGCCTGAACTTTGAACTGGAACGTCTTTAACTCCTCGTAGTTAAAAGACTGCAGGCTGACTATATCTCCAGTCTCTGAGTTGATATTCACCATTGTAGGTAGGGGCAGAGATTTATTGTTACTGTTTAAAAATGAGTATCTCACCTGACCGTTGATGCTGATATCAGCGTCAGTTGCAGTCACTGTTTTAATAACAGTTCCTACTTTGCTGTTTTCTTTCACATAAACGTTTATTAACGGCTCTGGGAAATATGGTGCGTTGTCATTAACATCAGAAACGTAAACAGTAATAACACTGGTGTTTGAAAGAGCGGGACTCCCATCATCGGTAGATGAAATGGTAACATTGTACTGAGGAGTTACCTCTCGGTCTAGATATCCATCAACCACTAAAGAGTAATAGTTTTTGTAATTTGTCTCCAATTTGAACGGAACCGTATTTAAGATCTCACATTTCACCTCACCGTTTTTACCACCGTCTCTGTCTAGAACGGATACTAGTGCAATAGCAGTACCAACATCCGCGTCCTCCTTCACTGTGTTGAGCAGTGACGTCACAGTTATTTCAGGAGCGTTGTCGTTTACATCAATTACTTCTACCAGCACTTTGCTATGGGCAGACAGAGGAGGCTGGGCTCTGTCCCTGGCCTCTGCTCGAATCTCAAACGCTTTCTTTCCTCATAGTCGATTTTGCCTTTCACTGAAATGATTCCAGTGTCTGAATCAATTTTGAAAATATCCAGAATATGATCCTGATCCTTACTACGAAGAGAATATACTATTTCACTGTTTGTGCCTTCATCAGCATCGGTCGCATTTAAGGTGAATACTGCCGTACCAATCGGGGTATTTTCCAAAATGTGAACTTTGTACAGAGTGCTGCTGAACAGTGGTGCGTTATCATTAATATCTAGTACATTTATTTCAATTTCTGAGGTGCCTGAATTTGGTGGAGTCCCCCCGTCTATCGCAGTTAACATGAGCTGCATATGTGGCTGTTTCTCACGGTCTAGGGCTTTCTGCAGCACTAACTCTGGAGATAAACTCTCCCCTCTTTGTGTGTCGCAAGACTGAAATATTCGTTTGGACTGACCTTATACGCACTAACGCCATTTTTACCCACATCAGCATCGCTTGCCTCCGATAACGCGAATCTAAACCCAGGCAATGTGTTCTCTGCTATGTCCAGTATTTGTGATTTTGTGCTAAAAGACGGAAATGGTCATTCACATCTCTAATTTCTATCTCTACGCGGTAAAGCTTTAATGGATTGTTTATCACAGCCTCTACGCTAACAGTGCATTTGGGTTCCTCTGCACAAAGCTCCTCTCGGTCTATTCTCTCATTGACATACAGAAATCCGGTCTTTAGATTTACCTCGAAGTATTTCCTCTTCGATCCTGTAACAACCTGAAACAAACGGGACTCCAAATCATGCACATTGAGGTTTAGATCCTTGGCGATATTCCCAACATTAGTTCCTGGGTTTACTTCCTCTGAGACAGAGTAGGAGAGCTGCCCGGACGCCGCTTCCCAGTAACAATCCAACAGCACGAGCACAATGTATGTAACAATAGACCTCCTGCTACTCGGTAAATGCATAATTCCACTGAGAAAGAACAAAGCATACATCCACAATTGCGTTTCGACCGTGGAATTGTGAGATTTGCTAAAACTTCAGCCAACACTATTTTGATGTCCTTATTCTTATTGACGAAGACTCCATTATGCCCTCCCTTCTCTTCCCGTGTCTCTTTGTGATGAAAACCACAGTCATTCTGTTTTTACTCAGGGAGGAGCCTGAACATTCCTGTGTTACGGTCTATAGCGTCACTGCGTGGTGAATTTAAGTAACTGCACAACTCAGTAAAACACCCGTCCTCATATAAAAACGCGGAAAACTTAATCACAAATGGCTCTGTGAGTTATTGCAAAGATCTGCATGCATGACTAATTAAAAACCACCCAATGTATCTCAAAGCCGGCATTGGGGCTGCACGTCTGATAACAGTGAAATACACTTTAATTCAAACTAAGATCAATTTATGCTTCTAGGACATAACATATTTTTTATCTGACTGTATGTGGTATAGCTTGCGTCATATTAGCCGAAATATCCAAGTTTGCAGTAGAAAACCTGATGCTATATATGGAATATATGGAAGCAATGGATTCCAATCTCTGTGGTATTACAATTATTTGCAGAAGTCACTATATAATAGATGGAATCAGTGTCAGACAAACATTTACACGTGCTGAGTGAGTAGTCATCGTCTGTCATTATTGTTACTGCACAATGCAATGTAACAGGAAAATAGCCATAGCAAAGATCCAGTTGAACGTTAATAACATAAAGCCATGTCTTTCCTACCATATAATTCTTTGTTTTCACAATCTATTCTCGACATGCCTACACTTGCAAATATACTGAACAAATATCATAGGGATTTCAGGCCGAAGACATGCAGAAGCCTCCGTTTATCACCACGGACAGTGACATTCAAATTCAAATGCGGAGCTAGCAGCCGACATTTGCCTCAACATGTGCACAGTAGGCCTATATATAGATAATTCGAAAACAGCCTCAATAAACTTTAATTTAACGCAAACTTTAAGTATATTAAAATTGAATCTTCTTGTTGCTTAAGTAGCACGAATTGAAGTACAAAGTATGATTTCACTATCAACAAAAACGAAGGGCAATAATTAGATGCACTTAATGCTAATGTTCTTACCTTGTCTTTATTAGGTAAAGTCTGAGTTCTGGTAAACGTGTCTCCTCCGTTTATACTGATCAGCTCCGCATCTACAGGCGGAAACGGTGCGGGGAAAACCACTACGTCACTCTTCAGTGTGTCGGAGCTGAAACACACGTCATACTGCTGAGTAGCTTTAGAGTAAGACCAGCTCCCGTCAGGGTGGGTGGTGATCATCGGGGCGCTGTACCTGCTGAAACTGCCGTCTGTCCTGTGGCATTTCACAGCTATTAAACTGATGAGGCTCAGCAGAAAGATCACTGACACCGACACAATGGCGATCAGCAGATACAGGTTCAAATCAGAGAAGCTCTCCTCCTTTATGGGCACATGTCTGAACTGAGTCTGGATGTCAGCTGTGCTTTCAACCACCACCACATCAACAGACACAGTAGCTGACAGGGAGGGCTCTCCGTTATCAGAAACCAGCACCACCAAGGGGTGAGTTTTCAGGTCATTGTCACTCATTCTCCTCTTAGTCCTGATCTCCCCGGTGCTGGTTCCGATCCGGAAGAGGTTGTTTCCTTTGGGCTCAGACAGGTGATAAGAAAGCAGCGCGTTGTATCCAGAGTCTGCGTCTACAGCCCTGATCTTTGCCACAAAGTATCCCGCTTCAGCAGAATAGGGGATGCTCTCACTGTTAACGGAGCCGTGCTCAGAATAGGGCGCGAGGATCGCGGGACTGTTGTCATTCTCATCCAGGATACAAACGTTCACAGTCACGTTGCTACTGAGCGGAGGAACACCAGAGTCTGTGGCCTGAACTTTAAACTGAAACGTCTTTAACTCCTCGTAGTTAAAAGACTGCAGGCTGACTATATCTCCAGTCTCTGAGTTGATGTTAATCATTGTAGGCAGCGGAACTAAGTTATTATCACTCACTAATGAATACCTCACCTGACCATTTTCACTAACGTCAGCATCTGTTGCAGCTACTGCTTTCAAAACCGTCCCAACTGGACTGTTTTCTTTCACATACATGTTAATTACAGTCTCTGAAAACCGAGGTGTGTTGTCATTTACATCAGATACCTGAATAATGACCACGCTTGTGTTAGAGAGAGGGGGCCTACCTTCATCCGTAGCCTTGATAGTGATATTGTAGCTGGAAATGAGTTCCCTGTCTAGCGCGCCACCAATAACTAAAGAATAATAATTTTATAATTTGTCTCTAATTTAAAGGGAACCGAATTCACTATCTCACATTTGACTTCGCCGTTTCTGCCCCATCTCTGTCAAGAACCGAAACAAGTGCAATAGCTGTACCGATTTCAGCGTCCTCTTTCACGCTACTAAGTAGTGACGTCACCGTGATGTCAGGCGCATTGTCATTCAGGTCCACCACCTCCACTAGTACTTTACACTGTGCTGTTAATGGAGGCTGGCCTTTGTCAGCAGCCTGCACACGGATTTCAAAGGCAGGATTTGTTTCAAAGTCAATTTTTCCTTCAACGGTTATTATTCCTGTTTCTGAATCAATTGCAAAAATGTCCAAGACTTGGTCCTGATCTTTCGAATTGAGTAAATATACGATATCTTTGTTTGCCCCCTCATCAGCGTCAGTTGCAGTTACTGTTGCTACTGTACTGCCAAGCGGTGCATTTTCTGTAATACTTGCTTTATACAATGTTTTGGTAAAGACTGGGATATTGTCATTGTTATCCAACACATTAATTATGATCTCTGACGTGCCTGATTTTGGAGGCGTTCCTCCATCTACAGCGGTGAGCGTGAGTTTGATTAAAGCCTGTTTTTCTCGGTCTAATGATTTCTGAAGGACCAACTCGGCTGACACACTCTCTCCTTTGTGCACCGCTAAAGAAAAATACTCACTGGGATTAAGCTTGTATGTGTTAATGCTGTTTTCCTCACATCGGCATCGTAGGCCGAGAGCACAGGGAATGTAGCTCCCGGCAATACGCTCTCTGCTATATCGATAGCTTGTGATTTGGCACTGAAAGAGGGGGAGTTGTCGTTTACGTCAAGGATATTCACTTCAATACGGTAAAGTTTTGTGGATTATTAATCACAGCCTCCACATTTATTGTGCATTTTGCAGCTCTCGCGCAGAGCTCTTCTCTGTCTATTCTTTCACTGACGTAGAGAAATCCTGACTTTAAATTAACATCGAAATACTTCCTCTTTGATCCAGTAACAATCTGAAACATACGTGACTCCAAATCCTGTACGTTAAGATTTAGATCCTTGGCGAGATTTCCGACAGAAGTCCCCAGGTTTACCTCCTCTGAGACGGAATAGGAGAGCTGCCCAGACACCACTCCCCAGTAATACTCCAAGACAACAAGCACTAGATATATCCCAATGCAGGTCTTTCTTCCCGGCAGATGCATACTTCCATAAAACGAGAACTAAGCATATATCCTTATATCAACTTGCCTTTTGCCTATTAAGGACAAAATATCGTATGAAAGACCGAATTATACGTCGTAGGTTTTCTATATCCATCCCCTTCGCCCTGCGTCTCATTCTAACAAAGCACCTGGCAAAAATGATCCTTTTAAAGTGGGAGGGGCCTGCACACATCAGCGACCTGCTGGCGGTGTTACGGTCTATAGTGTCGCTTCATGGCCATTTGAAAGAACTACAATGGTTTAAAATAAACAAACATTACTTTCTTAGAAACCACCAGAATTTAAATGATTCATATCAGTGATGAACTACGAAATGACAGATTCTTCATCACGAGTGTTCTGCCGTGCCATTAACGACTAATCGCCACATATTTCAGGACCATGATAGAGCATCATAATGCTGATGCAGCATGGTATTCAAAGCAGACATCAATGCGAGCAGTTAAGTGTCGCATCTTCTTGAAAAAAGTATAAATTATTTAGACAACAAGCCACATGGTTTGTGACTTCCCAGACCTCAAATTAATGGATATTCCCATACGAAAAAAACATTAGCATAAGGATTCACAAGTCAAAAAATTATCACAACTATTTGTTTTTATCGTTTTACTGTAGTTTTATATGTTGAACTTGCCCGCAAACTTAGATTCAGCACCAAAACAGCGACATTTTATTCATTTTCATAAATGAAAGTTGTGTACAACCATACGACTCATTATAGAAAATACATTTTATTCAATGCTTGCAGGAAAGTGAACTAATTGAAACCAATTTCTGAGTATTCTCAAGTTTAAGCGCTATGAGTGTCTGGCTTGTTTTATGCAAATAAAATTTTAAGAACAGTTTGACTCCGTTTGACTCATTGTCAAAGTAAGCAAGATGAACGAGAAGTAATGTCCCTTAAAACTGCAATGTTGAATATCTAATAATTAATATATT